TAATAAACGACCTCGCTCTTACGATTGCTGATTGTCGATGGTCATTTGTCAACATCCGCTTGGGTTGAATTTCAATGCTTGGTCCACCACTGTTCGTCCCCCATCATTAACAAAAGTATTGCTCTATCTACTTAAATTTTCGATATTTCACTGATTTGGAAAGATCGTTTATCAATATTTAAATCATTCTAGCAAGAAGCATGGCATTTTATCAATTATATTCATGAAAGTATAAAAAGAAAAAAAAAAGTAATTTAAAAATAATTATTCATATTAAGTCCTTATTTGGTTTAATTAAAAATCAAAAATTGATGAAATATAATATATAAAATTTATAAATCACATAAAATATGTGATTAAACTTATGTTTTAAGGAAAAATGTTTACGAAATGATGCCCAACATAAGCTAAATTACTAGAAAATTAAAATATGGGAATAATAAGTTTTAAGGAAAAATTTGTTGGTACACGTCATCGGGATTTGGACCTGCATGTGCTCAGATTCGTTGGACTAGCCTTCTCGTTTGTCTCGTAGTCAAACAGTGTAAAATATTGCCATCTGATCTGATCGTCTTTTTTATATAAACTAAAACAAACTGTAATTTAGACCAATAAATATTGTCATCTCGTCTTCTTTTTCTAAATTCTAGCATCAAATTAATATAAATTAATTTTAATAAATTAATAAAATATTAAATAAAAAAATCTTTTTATTTCTTTTATTTAATCATTTTGTCCCTTTAAAATTGATTAAAATATGATCAAACTTTTTTTTTTCCTTTTTAAGCGAACAAACAGAGCTCTAGAAGGAAACTGTCTTGAGGTCCTTTCTCAGCATAGGAATGAAAAGTTTGGAACTAGGCTGCTTCACATGAAATATTAAAATGAGAGCCTCAACAAATTGAAACATTTGGAATACTTATCCCTAAAACTAATATTTTTTAGACAAAGCAGACAAACAATGAACATGGTTGAAAAACAAAGGTTGTACTTTAATAAAGAAAGGAAAAGTTGTCGATAACTAGATAACATCCTGCTCTTTCTTTTTCATGATGATAACCACAAGTTGGCTAGGGACAATTAAATGTATGACTTTTTGTAATTAAAGTAATACATAGCATCAAAGAATGATTATATAAATTATCATTTGTTAGTTTATACGGTTTACATCATCTACATGACAATAACCATATTTAGGTTGTGTCAGGTAAAATTTTTAAGCATAATTCAGATCGTTGTATGCACTATTTAGCCAAAATGTTTGACTGTATTGTCTCATGGTAGGGCCCAAGATGTGGAAAAAAACTGTACACGTTGATTTTTTGGTTTAAAAAAAATTGTTACCAGACAAGCTCTTAATCATTTTTCAACCACTTTTCGTCTTCACATTTTGACATATATTTGATACAAGTAGCATTAAGGTCTAATCAAAATCTTCGTCCATTATATTAACCTATTAAATCTACAAATTTTCGAAATTTTGACCAATCATATCTACATTGAAAAATGTCCCAAAATAACATTTTTTGTCACTTAGGGAGAATTATCTATTATAATATTTAACTACATATCCCATCTTCAAACACAATCATTTCTGTACATATTGAATTTTTTTTTTGGTTTGGTGATAATAAAAATTGAACATAAGGAATGAAAGTTTGTAGATTCTTTCCTACTTATACAAGGAAAGTATATTTTGACTCAAGCTTATAAGTTACATAAAACATATACCAATTGCTTCAAAATGTGTAACATATTTACAATATGTAACTTAAGTAATGGTAGACATTTTTATTTGTAACTTATAAGTAGATCTAGTTCGGTTTGACTTAGCCCCTTGTATGGTTCAGTTAAAAAAGTTTATTAAAATTTAACTCATAATTAATAACTAATTTTAAACACTCGTTTCGTGGAACCTACAACTTTTTGACAACACATGTTATCAACTATTATAAAAAATTACTAAAAATCTTATTTTTATCTAAAACTGACAAGGGCTTAAGAATCGATAATCAAACGAACTTGGTCAAGTTCTCGATTCTAGTTACACAATTGAATTTGAACTTGTTTAAATTATATCAATTTACATGAATTAATAGATATCTAATTACACAATTGATTGATGAATAAAAAAAATTACCCAACATCTAAAAAAGCACATGGAATAATATTTTTATTAATATTTGATTCAAATTCAATTAAGTTCTCGTTTAAACCAAACCAAATCAAACGATACACATCACAAGTATAAATGGTAACAACCATTGGTCAAGTCTCATATGCTCATTTGTCATCATGTTCCGTAATCACCTGTGGCGACGATTCAACGCACTAAAATATCATAACTGCTTCCACCATAAATTCTCAATTCCCAGCCGAAGTCCCATCTCATTTCATTCAAGAGCAAGAAAAATGGAGGACATAGTGCACAAATCACTGACTGTAAATGGCATAAACATGCACGTAGCAGAAATAGGGCAGGGCCCTTTTGTGCTATTCCTCCACGGTTTCCCTGAATGCTGGTACTCATGGCGCCACCAAATGGCATTCATGGCCAGCCACGGCTTTCGGGCGGTGGCGCCGGACCTCCGCGGCTACGGCGACACTACTGGTGTGCCGGTAAACGATTTAACAAAATTCACCACCCTGCATGTGGTGGGTGACGTGGTGGCGCTCCTTAACGCCGTCGCTGCCCAGGAGGAGAAGGTATTTGTGGTTGGACATGACTGGGGTGCCATGATTGCGTGGGCTTTGTGTTTGTATAGACCGGATAAGGTTAAAGCTTTGGTGAATTTGAGTGTGGCGTTCTCGCCGAGAAACCCCAGCAAGAAGCCTGTTGAGATCTTGCGTGCAGTTTATGGGGAGGATTACTATATTTGCAGATTCCAGGTTCTTTTATTTTCTTCCTTCTATCAATCTTTTTTTTTTTCCCCTGGATTGCAATACATTGCAATAAAGTTGAAAGCAAAAGTTGCATCAAGTTTTTTTTTTTTTTTTCCTGATTCTTTTCTGTTCCAGGAACCTGGAGAAATAGAAGGTGAGTTTGCCCAAATGGGTACTAAGAGGGTGTTGAAGAATTTCCTGACCTACCGCAATCCTGGTCCACTTTACCTTCCTAAGGGGAAATTGTTTGGTTCGTTTGGCGATTCGGCAGATACTCCAATTATCTTGCCTTCATGGCTATCTGAAGAAGAAGTTGATTACTATGCTTGTAAATATGAGAAGAGTGGCTTCGCAGGGGCATTAAATTACTACCGGGCACTCGATATGTATACTCCTCTTTCTCAATTGTGTTTGAGCCAAATTTGCCAATCTAAAAAACAAATTTTTATGTGATAGTTGATTTAAATTAGCTCGATATTCATTTATGTTGCACGTTATATCGAATATATAACAACAGATGCACTGTAAGCCTATAAGGTTAGTTGTTTAACTCCATTTCTTGAAAATCTTGTTAACGCCTCAACATCACTTGAAACTGTCCTGTTGATAAATTTCCCTCGACCCTTGGTTCTTTTTGGTTTTCAATTCTTGATCTTATTTTCTCGGATATTACAGAAACTGGGAGCTCACAGCGCCATGGACTGGGGATCAAATTCAAGTTCCAGTGAAGTTCATTGTGGGTGACCTCGACATAACCTACAATGCCCCTGGCGCCAAAGAATTCATACATAAAGGCGGGTTCAAGAGATATGTGCCACTGCTGAAGGAAGTCGTTGTAATGAAAGGAGTAGCTCATTTTATCCACAAAGAGAAGCCTGATGAGATCAATAAGCACATTCTTGATTTCTTCCAAGAATTTCCACTCCCTTCGTCTTCAACAATGTAAATGCCTTTTTTCTACATTTATCTGTCGGTGCTGAGTCGTGATATTCGAAGTATTTTCCAAAAGTTTGGAATGTGCTGTACTGTTTTTTTCTTGAGTATTGGCATCAAAACAGTTGGCCAGCAAATAAATAATTGCCAAAATATGTGGTTCTCAAGATTCTGTTTCAAATCTAGTATGTTTAGAAAGGTACGAGGGCATATCAATTATTGCACTCTTGTTCATTCTGCACGCTCACATCGACACACACGCAGAGAACACGAGATGGAGAAAATAGGACATAAGACGGTACCTGTTAATGGCCTAAACATGCACGTAGGCAAGCTTGGTCAGGGTCTGTTACTTCTCTTCTTACACGGTTTCCTTGAGCTCTAGTATTCATGGCGCCACAAAATTCTCTCTGTGGCAGCTTATCAGGATGTGGTCCGGACCTGAGGAGGCTGTTATTAGTGATTTTTTTTTTGCATGATCATTAATTCATTGATTTGTGAATGGTAACTAACCGATAGATGAGTTATTTATTTAGACCACATAATAAAATTGAAATTTGTACACAAGGTAGGGATACACTTTTGTTAATTTTATGGTCATTAATTGAATTCTTTGGTGATTAAATGTTCTATGACCGAGGCTTATCCTAATTTACATAAAGATGTAGTGATTTTAATTAATTGAGAATTGATTGATTTGAAATCGAGAAAGGTAAATTAATTAATTTAGAAAAATTCAATCTATAATACACATAATTGATTGTTATTGAAATTTGGTGATTGAGATTAATGAAATAACTATGGTGAACTAGTGAATCCTACCCATTTCCATGTGGCAATTCCGTCAAGATCTATTCTTTACTTGGGGAAAGAATCCGAACGAATCGAATTTTTGAGGAACGTATCAAGAGAGAATTTGATTTGGTTAAATAATGTGTTGTTGGTAAACAATGATCTATTTTTTAGAAAGGTACGGAGTGTATAGTCAAATATTCAATATGATTCCA